CCAGCCCCCAGGGGACAGCGGGTGTGGGGCCGGGCTGGCTGCAGGACCAAGTCACAGAACATTCCTTGTCAGCCTCCGTCTGCAGAGGCAGATTTGGAGCAAACTCGCTTTGGGCAGCAAACTCCAGCTGGGCACAGCACGCCAGGCACTCTGCAGGGCTGGGAATTGTTCTGTGCTCAGGCAGCCACGGAGGCAGGGCTGCAGCAGCACAGGGCTTTAAATCCTCCGTTTGCCCGGATTCCAGAGCCCAGCTCTCCCAGGGACTGCTCTGGGTGCCTGTCCTGGCATGGATCCGCTTTCACAGCTCAGCCCACAGCCCAAACTTCCTTTCCTTTCCTTTCCTTTCCTTTCCTTTCCTTCCTTTCCTTTCCTTTCCTTTCCTTTCCTTCCTTTCCTTTCCTTTCCTTTCCTTTCCTTTCCTTTCCTTTCCTTTCCTTTCCCTTTCCCTTTCCCTTTCCCTTTCCCTTTCCCTTTCCCTTTCCCTTCCCTTTCCCTTTCCCTTTCCCTTTCCCTTTCCCTTTCCCTTTCCCTTTCCCTTTCCCTTTCCCTTTCCCTTTCCCTTTCCCTTTCCCTTTCCCTTTCCCTTTCCCTTTCCCTTCCCTCCCCTCCCCACACCTGGGCCAGGAGCAGGATTTGGGGTGGAACTCGAGGTTCCTGCAGCATTCCCACTGCACAGCGCCCAGGGACTGGCAGGGCAGGTGGAAAAGCTGCAGGAGGAGTTGGGCACCGTCCTCCTCCTCTTCCTCTTCCTCCTCTTCTTCCTCCTCCTCCTCCTCCTCCTCCTCCTCCTCCTCCTGCTGCAGACAATCAGGGATGTCACTCGGTGTCCAGGCGCCGTCAGCACAGACACTGTTGTCAGTGAATCAGAAGTGTCTAGGAACAGCTTGAACAACTTTTATTTTTTTTTAAAGTGCTTAAAACGTAAATAACAAGCTCTTTATAAACATTACTTGCAGCTCTTAAAACGTGAGACACACAGAACCCGCTTCCCACGGACGTGAAGAACAGGGAAACCAACAACTCCAAAAACCCCAACACTTCTCCCACCTGGGGATGCTTTTCCAGGTTTTTAACCCCAAACACGGCGGTTCCCTCCCAGACACGGCTGAGGCTGCGTCACACTGGAGAATCCACATCCCTCAGCTTTGTTCCAGCTTGAGGATGAACCTGGGTGGACCAGGCAAGGGGAAAAGAATTTGGCTAAAGCACAGAGAAACAAAACCCCGCTGTGGGCTGGCAGCAAAGGCAGAGCACAGCACCCTGCTGCAGCCTGCTGGGAAAACAAACACCAGGAAAGGCAAAAGCACAGGGATGGTCATGGGTGTGATTAAAACAGAACAGGGAGAAGCTGCCTGGCCCAGAGAACCCCGGGGGTGTGCTGGGCTCAGCAGAGAGGGACAGAGCTCAGGGCACGGAGCAGGAACGCTGCTCCTGCCCCAGGATCCCAAATAAATCACCAAATGGGAGATTCAGTCACTAACCGCGGAGATAAATCCCAGATGGGCAAGTTGAGAACAATTCCCAGTTCTCTTCCTCATCCCCTCCCTCTCTGAGGAAGCACTTAGGTCCTCCAAAGCGTTCCCTTGGGCAGGTGGGGGTTTAACAGCAGCACTACAGCCTCCAGCCCAGCGCTGCTGGGCTGCTCTTCTGCACAAAAATTCTGTGTGCTGAGGGGGGAACCCCCAAATCTCCAGCCCAGCAGGGCGGGGAAACAGAGAACAGAGACAGGAGCATCTGTCAGACACCTTTCCCAGCACAGGAGGGACCCGCTGAACTGGGAGGGACCTGCTGATCCTGTCACTGCGGGACAGACACGGAGCCTCCATCGCTGCCCCACTCAGCTCCAGCAGCAAGGGAAGGGACCCCTGCTCAGCTGGGAGGGGCAGGGATGGCTGCAAACGGGAGATGGGGGAACAGTTCTGCTGGAGAGGCAGGAGAGAGGGAACACCACTGCTGCAAGGGCAGGAGAGAGGGAACAGAACCACTATTGCTAGAAAGGCAGAGGAGTGGAAGCACCCATTGCTGAAAAGGCAGGAGATGAGGGAATAAAACAGGAATTGCTGGAAAGGCAGGAGGTGAGAGAATAAAATAGGTATTGCTAGAAAGGCAGGAGGTGTGGAAGCACCTATTCCTGGAAAGGCAGGAGATGAGGAACAGGTATTGCTGGAAACAGGAGATGAGGGAACAGGTATTGCTGCAAGGGCAGGAGAGATGGAAACACCACTGCTGCAAGGGCAGGAGAGAGGAAACAGAACCACTATTGCTAGAAAGGCAAAGGTGTGGAAGCACCCATTGCTGAAAAGGCAGGAGGTGAGGGATCAAGTATTGCTGGAAAGGCAGATTAGGGAACAGGTATTGCTGGAAACAGGAGATGAGGGAGCAGGAACTGCTGCAAGGGCAGGGGGTATGGAAACAGAACCACTATTGCTAGAAAGGCAGAAGTGTGGAAGCACCCATTGCTGGAAAGGCATGAGATGAGGGAATGAAACAGGAATTGCTGGAAAGGCAGGAGGTGAGGGAACAGAACAGGTATTGCTAGAAAGGCAGGAGGTGTGGAAGCACCTATTGCTGGAAAGGCTGGAGATGAGGAACAGGTATTGCTGGAAGCAGGAGATGGAAAGAGCAGATATTGCTGGAAATGGGAGCTATGGAAGCACCCATTGCTGGAAAGGCAGGAGATGAAGGAATAGAACAGGAATTGCTGGAAAGGCTGGAGGTGAGGGAGGAGAACAGGTATTGCTAGAAAGGCAAGAAATGTGGAAGCACCTATTGCTGGAAAGGCAGGAAAGGAGGGAACAGGGATTGCTGAGAAAGGAGATAAGGGAACAGAACAGGGATTGCTGAGAAAGGAGATAAGGGAACAGAACAGGGATTGCTGGGAACAGGAGATGTGGAAGCACCTATTGCTGGCAGGGCTGCACACCTGGCACAACCTCCTGAGCTCTGAGAGGAACTTTTTATATTCAAGTGCAAAACATTCAGGCTTTTGGAGCAAAAGCAGGCAGAGCTGACTAAGGCAGAGGGGGCTGAGGGAGGCGGTGAGACACGACGGGAGAGGAGGGAGAGGTGGGAAGGAGGGGCCGTGGGATCCATACAAACATTGGCACTTGTGTGGGGAGCACCAGCAGCCGTCCCTGCAGGGGCACAGGGCCAAGAACGGGATGTTTGTGTGGGTGGGAGCCAGAGAGGGGCCCTGGCTCCCGTGGGAGATGTTGGCTCCCCCGTTAATGCCCACCTGAGGAATTCCTCTACCTTTTCCCAGCGCTCATTCCCATGCCCTGCTGCTTTCCCAGTGCCCACGGCTCCTGCGGACTGCCTGCAGCTCCCAGGGACACAGCTGGGCACCCAGAGAGGGGCTGGGGCTGCCAGACCACGGCAGCCGATCCCACGGGCACAGAGGCTGCTGGTGCTTTCCAAAATGGGAGAAACACCTTCCCTTGGACACCCCCATCCCATCCCATCCCATCCCATCCCATCCCATCCCATCCCATCCCATCCCATCCCATCCCATCCCAGCCCAGAAACACAGAGGGAGGAGGAGCAGAACACACAGCTGGAGCGGTGCAAAGCCTCAGGGATCTGCCATGAGGGCAGAAGCAGGAAGGAGCGTGAGGCTCATGGCTGCTCCCAGGGAACAAATCCTCCTTCTCCTCGTGCAGTGGTGCAGGGTTGGACAGGACCAGACCCAACTCTGTCTGTCTCCAGCTGTATTTCAGCTTGGGATGCTCAGCCTGCCCTTCCCTGCCGTGTCAGCTCCCAATCTCTGCCCCCACTTCTCTGAGCTGCTGTGCAGAGCTCCTGGAAGGAGCCGGAGCTCCGGTGGTGGGGAGGCTCTGCTGTCTGTGGGTGACCATTAACTCCCTTTTCTTGCATGAGAAGGAAAACAGGGGAGGAACCTGCCCCAGGCAGGTTGTGTGGGACTGAGAATTGGGCTGCAGAGCCTTTTGGGGGTAGGAAACTGCTACTGGCCTATGGCAAAAGGCACCATTCTTCAAAGTCATTGCCTACACTGCAGCAAGTGAAGAGCAGGGAGGTTTTAAAAGGACCCAGTGACTTTGGGAGGGGGAGAAGAGGGAGAAGATGCCTTTCATGTTGAAATCCCACTCCAACCGCCCCTCTGCCTGCACGGGCACCTTCTCCAGCCAAAATCCCGGCCAGATGAGGGAGGGAGCAACATCCTTCCTATCCCCTTCCACAGTACCTCCAGTTCAGCCAGGTAAATCAGAGCCCTTTGTGCAGAGCCCTTTGAAACCTCCAGGCTTCACCCTGGAAACATCTACCACAGAGAAGACTTCCCCACGGAGCCTCACAACACTGATCCTCCCAGCTTGCCCTCCCCATATGCCCCAAATTCTATGGGTTTCTGCTTTCCCTGTTTCCTCACTGGCTGTGGTATCCCTGGTGCCAGCCTCAGCTGCCCTTTGCCCTGCCCTTTGTGCTGCCCCCATGCCCCTGTGCCTGCTGACCCAAATTTAAGATTATACACACCACATGGGCTTGTCTTTTGTCCCTGGCTGTCCCTCAGCGTGCTGGAATAAACCTCACTGGAATGTAGCCTACAAAAGGCCCTTGTTGCCTCTCTTGGCATGGTGAGCATGGACATGACTGCTTTGCCTGAATTCCTACCCAAGCACTTTACACAGGGCACCTGTCTTAGATTGAAAGATTTAGTTGTGTGTTCTGTTTCCATCTGTCAGAGCTGGGGCAATTATCTTCTGCTAATTGGGCAGTTCTCTTTATCTCTTCCACAAACCAGTCCTCCCTCCAGGAGATCTCTTCTGTTCACGGGCCATTGAGTCACACTGATAAAATTCAATCGTCCCACTGTGAGACGCCCCACCCAGGGGAGGAGCCGAGCATCCCTACCTGGATATAATCTGTCCTGGGAACAGCACAGCAGCCTTTGCCCCCTGCATTCCCAGAGGAGCAGCTTTCTCCCCACTGCATTCCCAGAGGAGCCCAGGCCCATCTCCCCCAGCCCTGGAGCTGCAGAGGAAAACTCCCCCCTTGTGCAGGATCCTGCTCCAGCAGAAGCACAGCTGTTTACATTTTCCATTTCAGGGGAGGCTCCCGCCTTCCTTATCGGACGTTTCAAACCAAGACAAGGTGCTTCTTGGGAATTAGGCAGCAGCTTCCGCCACCTAAACCCCACACTGCTACAAACTCAGCCCCGTGTGGGGTGAGCGGCGCGGGGGCAGCACCGGGGGCCAGGAGAAGCCGCAGCGATGGCAGAACGGAAAGTGCTGAACAAATATCACCCCCCAGCCTTTGATCCGGCCAAGATCCCGAAGCTGAAGCTCCCGAAGGACCGGCAGTACGTGGTGAGGCTCATGGCCCCCTTCAACATGAGGTGCAGGAGGTGTGGGGAGAACATCTGCAAGGGCAAGAAGTTCAACGCCCGCAAGGAGACGGTGCAGAGCGAGCCCTACCTGGGGCTGCCCATCTTCCGCTTCTACATCAAGTGCACGCGCTGCCTGGCTGAGATCACCTTCAGGACAGACCCCGAGAACGCAGATTACGCCGTGGAGCACGGCGCCACGAGGAACTTCCAGGCAGAGAAGCTCCTGCAGGAGGAGGAGAAGAGGATGCAGAAGGAGAGGGAAGAGGAGGAGCTCAACAATCCCATGAAGGTCCTGGAGAACCGAACCAAGGACTCCAAGCTGGAGATGGAGGTCCTGGAGAACCTGCAGGAGCTGAAGGAGCTCAACCAGCGCCAGGCCAGCGTGGATTTTGAGGCCATGCTGAAGCAGTTCAAGGAGCTGGATGAGGAGCAGAGGCGCAAGGAGCAGGAGGAGGACAAGCAGGAGATGAAGGCCGTGCTGGAACAGGCCCAGAACCGCCGGCTCCTGGTGGATCCCGACTCTGACGAGGAACTGGCAAAACGCTGCCCGAATCCCACGGCCCAAAGAAAACCCATGGACACCCTGCAGGAGCACCCCCAGAGCAAGAGGCCGAGGCCGGCGAGCTGGGAGCACAGCGTGGGCAAGCTCAGCACCAAGGCCCAGCTGGCCAGGCTGGTGGCCCGCAGGAAGCAGAAGCCAGGTCCTGCCCTGGACAATGGGATGGAATCCCGAGGCACCACGGCCACCACCGGCTCGCTTCCAGCAGCAGCAGCAGCAGCCATGTCTTCACTGGGGCTGCTGGGAGCCTACGAGGACAGTGCCAGCGACTGAGGAGCCAGCAGGGCAGGGACAGAGCACGGACAGAGCAGGGATGGGGCTGTCCCCGCGCCCTGATGCTCCTGGAGCCCCACACTGTGGTGACAGGGCTGTCCTGCCACCACCAGCCCCCTCAGATGTCCCCTGGAGCTCAGGGACAAACCTGGGACAAACCTCTCCTCGCTCTTCCGAGCCTGCTGGGCTCCAGCAGCCAGAGCTCTAGAATAAATGGGATCTGGCAGAAAAAAAAAACCAAAAAAAAACCAAAACAAAACAAAACAAAAAAAAAAACCAAACAAAAAAAAAAACCACAAACAAAAAAAAAAGGACTTGACTGCTTTGCCTGAATTCCTACCCAAGCAGCAGCTTTTCCATAGGAGATGCTTCTTGGGAATTAGGTAGCAGCTTCCTCCTTCTAAACCCCATGCTGCTACAAATTGGCACCTTGACCACGGGGCTTCTCGTTAGCCCTTTGAAAGCATCTCCACTGGCCAGCCACTGGATTTTAAGTCACAGTCAAGTGTTCCAGATCCCTGAGGGGAGAAAGCCCAGTTTTCTGGGGAATTTCTCAGAGGCCCACTGACAACCCTCAAGACCTCGAGGTCTGGTTGACCCAGCCAATCTCCTGCAAGATCTTTCTTTTGAGCTGTTTTGTCCCTCTTTTCCCACAATCTCGGAGCATCGAGGCACTGGGAAATCACCTGTGACAACACTGACTATGAGGAAGGGCGCTGACTCTCCGAGGCCTACCCAGGCCGTGAGGCAGGACACGGGGAACGCTGGTGAGCGCCCTTTCCTTTGCATCCGAGGATGAGGCGATCTGCTGAATTCCAGCTGGCAAACTGGACCTCCTGATGGGCCAAGAGATGTTTTAATCACAGGAGACACTGTTAACGAGTTACATGTGCTTACAGAAGTCCAGACTGTGGGGCCGATGGATGAGATCGCTGTGGCTGTAATACGTACAGACCCACCCTGGCGTCTGACTAAGGGCACACTCATTGCCCAAGCTTTTCTTGCACCCACCTGGGCTGATGTTTGGCCAGAAAATCCTCTGGTTTTTTGGGCAGAGATGCTAGGCCAAGACAGACCTCTTACAGAATGTGGCATGTCTAACAAAGGTATCAAAGTTTCTCTTCCAGGTGTGGCTGACATCGGGACAGATGCCACCATCACTGCTCACTCCAAGTGGCCACTGGCTGGTGTCGGAACTCAAAATGTCCCTCAGACATTTTTAGAGGTTCCAGGCCTTGGTCAGAAGCATTTTAGACCCTGGCAAGCAGCTGAAAACAGCTGTGATCTTGAGTTTGAACCATGGAATGAATTACCAACTTTAAAGGTGGAACAAGCAGTCACAGAGGGTTAGATGGTATAGTAAAAGTAGTCACAAATTAGAGGGTAAAATTTTTTAGTATTGTACAGGGGGGTTTTAACACCTGTACAGGGGGGTTTTACTTTGTACAGGGGGGTCAGGAGTTCTAAGATGGAGGAAAGTGGGCCTGAACCTGTTCTTCCTCCTTCTTCTTCCTTACCTCCATGTTCTTGGTGATGTTGGCATTTTTCTATTGGTTTAGGCTAGGGACACACTATTCAACGTAGATGATAGATATTGGCACATTATTGTAAATATAATACACGTAATTTCTGGTATATAATGTTTGTACCATCCCACTGAGGGGCAGAGCCCCACACGCTGCCCTGCAGGACAGACCTGCGGTAGGGCAGCAGAACTTGTTATAGATAAGCAAAAATAAACAACCTTGAAACCAGCACGGACGAACTATGGCTTCTTCTTTGGCAACGGGGCAGAAAGACAGAGACTTTCTACAATCTCGGAATCACCAATACCCACAGATTCCGACAGGCTGGGAATTTGTGCCAGCCAATGGAGTCATCTCTGGGACTGGAGGAGCTGCCACCTCTGTGTGGTGTAAAAGGTCAATCCTTATTAAAGGTCCTGAGGGTCAAATTGCCACAGCGAGACCTTTTGTGGTAAAGGCACCTGTCATCTTTTGGGGCACAGACCATTGTCACAATGGGGAGCCAGACTAGAAATCCTTTCACATCCACAGGATTTCCAGCTGTAGAAATCCCGTGGGGCCACTGTAGAGTGCCCCACCTCACCGCTCACACAGAAATCGGATGATCCCATTTGGGTGGAACAGTGGCCCCAGGCAGAACTCAAAACAAAGGCGCTTGAATCCCTAGTGCAGGAGCAGCTATCTAAGGGCCACACAGCACCATCCACTAGCGCTTGGAACAGCCCCATCTTTGTCATTTGCAAACCGGGCAAAGACAAGTGGAGGCTCCTACGAGACATCAGAAAGGTCAACGAGGTCATTGAGGACATGGGCTCTTTACAGCCTGGCCTGCCCTCACCTTCAGCGCTCCTGAGATTGGAAATTGGCAGTCATTGATATCAGAGATTCCTTCTTAACATCCCGCTCCATCCCACAGATGCCCCAAGTTTTGCAATTTCTGTGCCATCAATTAATAGACAAGCCCCTCTAAAAAGGCAACAATGGCAAGTTCTTCCTCAGGCGATGGAAAACTCATGAGCCATCTGCCAAGTGTTCGTTGCCCACATTCTCTCGCCCATTTGGGAAAGATTTCCTGATGCCATCATTTTTCACTACATGGACGATATTCTAATTTGCACTGTGACCATTATCTGGAGACTGCTCTCAAAGAGACAATTCAGGCCATCAAAGGAGCAGGATCTGAAATTGCTACGGAGAAGATTCAGCACAGCTGCCTGTGCACCTACCTTGGATTCCGAATCGGCGAGCGAACCATCGTACCCCAGCAGCTCACCCTCAAGGACAACCCTGAGGGACATCCACCAGCTCTGTGGGAGCATCAGCTAGGTTTGTACACTGCTGGGGATCAGGACCGAGGACCTGTCACCCCTTTTCAACCTTCTGAGAGGCCCTGATGACCTTGACTCCACACAAACCACCACACCAGAAACCCAGGTAGAGATCCAGAAGGTATCAGAAGCATTCTCCGCAAGACAAGCCCACCACGCTGATCCTACCCTGCCCTTCCAATCTGCCATCCTGGGTAAGTCACCCAAGTTCCATGGGCTCGTTTTCCAGCGGGACCCCACTCAAGAGATCAGCTCCTAATCACAGAGTGGGTGTTTCAGTCACACAAACCAAACAAGACCATCACAACACCCCAGGGGTTTATGGCCCAGCTTATCATAAAGGCCAGAGCTCACCTCAGGACCCTAGTGGGGTGTGAATTCACATCCATAAATCTTCCAGTGACATCAAACAGTCTATAGCCTTTATCCAAACCAATGAACACCTCCAGTTTGCTCTTGACAGCCAGCCAGGCCAGATCTCCGTTCACCCACCAAAACATGAACCATTTAATGCTTGCTTCAATTTGGTCCCAGATTCATTAAAAACTAGAACTGCTCTAAAGGCATAGATTGGATTTACTGATGGTTCAGGGGGATCCCACAAGTCAGTTATGACGTGGAAGGATCCTGACACTCAAGAGTGGGAGTCTGATGTTCAAATTGTTCGAGGATCCCCACAAACTGCAGAATTAGCAGCTGTTGTCAGAGCCTTTGAGAAATTAAAACAACCCTTAAATTTAGTTACTGATTCAGCCTGTGTTGCTGGGATAGCTGAAAGAGCAGAACATTCTTTGTTAAAGGAAGTGCCAAATCCAGATCTATACAGATTACTTTCAAAATTAATACACCTCCTCTCCCACCGAGAGCAACCATATCACATCATGCACGTGAGGTCACGCACTGACCTCCCAGGACCAGTCACTGAGGGTAGCTGGAGAGCAGATCTCCCAGCCATGGCAGTGCAGACCACCCTACCTGATTTTCAATCAGGCCAAACTGAGCCATCCGTTTTTCCACCAAAATGTGCCAGCCCTTGTCTGGATGTTCAAAATCACAAAGGAACAAGGAAGAGCAATCATGGGCTCCTGCCCCAATTGCCAGGAGTTTGCTTTGCCATCCGTGGGGGCTGGGGTTAACCCTGAGGCCTCGAAGGTTTACAGTTGTGGCAGATGTCACACACTATGCACCTTTTGGGAGACAAAAATACATTAATGTGTCCATAGATACGTTCCCTGGGGCTGTATTTGCATCAGCCCACGCAGGAGACAAGACAAAAGATGTCATCCAACATTTTCTCATAGTGTTTTCTACTCTGGGCATTCCCCAAGGCATCAAAAGAGATAATGGTGCAGCTTACACCGCCCAAAATTTCAAACAGTTCCTAGGCAGATCAGTGGGAGGTGATATCAGCATACTGGCATACCCCACTCACCAACAGGGCAATCCATTGTACAGAGGTTCACCACACACTCAAGAGAGCCCTTGACCAGCAGCATGGGGAAGGTGGAACACTACCAAATGTAGAATGATTATGTAAGGCTCTTTATGTCATCAGCATTCTTAATAATTCATTCACAGAGCCAAACCCTCCCATTATCAGGCACTTCTCCAACACCAGCAGAGCTCAGCTCACTGAGAAACCCCCTGTGCTGATCAAAGCTCCCAAATCCAAACAAATAATGGGCCCATTTCAGGTGGTTTTTTTAGTTTCCTCGGGGAGAGGTCATGCTTGCATATCTACAGGATCTGGCCCAAGGTGGATTCCGGCAGGAATGTCAAGCTGTACATGGAATGCAGCATCCAGAGACACTCCTGGACCTCAGAGACAGCAAAGACATCAAGCTCAGGTGGTGTGGAGAAGGAAGAGGAGTGTAAACACAGATGTTCACCACAGAAGATGATTCAGCACTGTTCCAGAAGATGATAAAGACTCTCTGTTGAGTTTAATTCGCTCATTGTTTTGCACTGTTGCACCTCTTTAGTTGGTTTTACTGCTACCTCTCCTTACTTTGTTGCACTGTAATCCCCTCTTGTTTTCCCACACCTTTTCTGCTCAGTAAAAACTGAGGGGATAAGATGGGAAGATATGAGGGACTATTAAAGTAATAAAAATCCGTTTTTCCAAACCCACAGATCAACACATCCCCAAGTATCCTGCCATGTCTCCAGCGGCAGGGAATCCCCAACTATTCCAGACAGGATTTGGATGTTCCTCACCCTTCCATCAGCTGGTGCATGGATTGTCCCTCAGCCCAGTCAGAACATCTGGGTCACACTGGCCAAGACTTTACAGCAAGACAATCTCTGCCTGTCCATGGGCAGCGTGGACAACCCGCTGACGACCTGCCTGCTAGGGGCTCCTTTAGCAGAAATGAGTACCCATGTGCAGATAAGAAACCCAATCTGGCAGATGCTTGGGATGGGTGGACCAAGACCCTACCTCAAGCACCAGAGGAACCCCAGGGTTAGAGCTGTTGGGATCCTCCAAAGCTCATTGCTGTGTCCAACTTCAATATCAACCTGCCAACCAACACCTGACCTGCCCTGAACTTGTTCTGTCTACCCATAGGAAAGATGTAACCCCACTTAACAAAAATTACACCCCCCCAAACTGGTGCAATTACACCAGTCCTACACTTTCTCCATCCTCACTCCATCCCAAAATGCTGCCCCGGGGAGCGTTCCTTATCTGTGGAGGATGAGTATGGGCTGGGATCCTTCACACCTCAAGGGGGTCCCTGTAGCCTTGGCCAGCTTTCTATCCTCACCCCAACCATTACTTCACAACTGGAAACAAAAGGGAAATTGGCACGCCAAAAGAGATCATATACTGAATTTGATGAAAATTGCAATAGACGAGTTTACAAGGGGAACAAAGAAAACAGTCGCGGTCTCACGCTGCTACACTTTGGGTGGTCACTCAGGGGTCAGCAGTGGACAGAGCTGCCCCTGAGGCTGGGCACTGCCCCGGAGAGCTGATCCCAGCATGTGGATGTGATCAGGGAGCAGGCTGGGCACTGCCCTGCCAGGATTTGGGAATTCTGGGCTGTGCCAGGAGTGTTTGGGGTGCTTGACCCCGCAGGGGCCCTGCAGAGGGGTCAGACCCCCCCAGACTTTGCTCTGGGGGCATTTTCCGGCTGTGCTGGACAGATGAGGCAGAGGCAGGGCAGGGCAGCCGTGAGCAGGCATTCCTTGGAATACTGAGTGGGTATTCAGTGTGGATTCTGCATCCCCGGTCCCTCCAGGGCACAGCAGCCCCTGCTGGGTGGGCCCTGCGGAGGATCTCCTGCAGCACTCCTGGGGCACCATCCCACGTTCCCTCTGCCGTGTGCCCAGCCCAGCCACGAGGCAGTGTCACCCTGGCACTGGCGCTGTGACAGAGCCAGCGTGGCCCAGCCAGGCTCTGACACCAGCTGGGTCCGGCGCTGTCCCTTCGTGGAGCATCTCCCACAGGTGTGGCACAAACTGGAGATGGCTCTTCACCCTTCACTGGGGTAACTGAGGCACGAGGGAAGGGGCGTCCCACAGGCTCCGGTCAGGAACGTGCTGGGGGAGCCCCACTGGGTCTCAGTGTCCCCAGCGTCACCCACCAGCCCAACAGCATCCAGCAGGCAGGGACACCACCCTCGGGGCAGACAGGAGTGTGGGCAGAGGAGCAGCAGCAGGATGAAGTCACGAGGAGATGGTTTCCAGCTCTCAGATGTCCAGGGGTCACTTAAAGCTCTGGCAGCAGGAGTGCCGGGGAGGTGGCACTCGGTCACAGCAACGGGAACCTGCGGAGGCGCCTGCCTCGTGGGGAGGGCTCTGCTCCTCCCCATAGGGTGCTGGCAGCCCAGCACCCTACAGCTCCCTGGAGCCGAGCCGGGCTGAGCTTGGGCTGGGAAGGAGCAGGTAACCCTTCCTGCTAGCTCTGGGAACAGAAGCCACTGGAGCCCTCGGGTGCGAGGAGGGGGCGCAGGGGTGTTGGCAGCGCGGTTGCTGGGGCACGGCTGTGCTGGGTGCTGCTGCCCTGGGCAGGCTCACGGGGCCCGGGCAGGCTCACGGGGCCTGGCCCCCACCCAGCGGGATCTGCAGCAGCGTGGGGGACTGCTCCATGATGCGCACCAGCAGCTGGTCGATGTAGTTCTCCAGCTCGTGGATGTGCTCCTCCTTCTTGCTCAGCTCGCCCTCCTTCTGCAGCAGCAGCTGGATCAGCTCGTCGTGGGTCAGGTGGTAATACTTGGCTGACTGGTCCAGCTGGGCGGGGTCCTGCTGGGAAGCAAGAGGGACATTCAGGGACTGGAATTAAAACCTCTTCTCCTGGTAATGTTTGCAGGATGCAGGCAGAGCGCTCCTACTTTCCGAGTCTGTCTTTCTAAACTGGAGAGGCAGGAGCAGCACAGGGACCCACAGAGACCTCGTGTGCTCAAAAAGCACCAGCTGAACTCCCTGCAGCACCCACAGGGCCTCTGAGACCCGCAGGGTGGTGCTTGTCCTTCAATCAGGTGAACCCCAGCAGCATTTTCCATGTGACACTGGGGAGGCAAACGGAGTGGGAGTGGACAAAGGGATGGAGGGGTCACCCTCAGAACACCCCCTGTGTTCTCAGAGGTGCCACAGGAGCTTTGCTGGAATATATCCAGGTCTGCAAAGCTCCAGGAAGGACCTTTCCCCTGCCAGGATTAGGAACCCTTCAGAGCATCACTCAGGCAGCTACTACACCTTCCACCTTCCATACCTTGTGGAGACCAGGTTGGAAGGGGCTTGGAGCAGCCTGGCACAGTGCAAGGTGTCCCTGCCACGGCAGAGGTGGCTCTGGATGGGATTTAAGGTCCCTTCCAAGCCAAGCCATTCCATGTTTCTATAAGCAGGGATTCACCCCACACTGCACGACAGCAGCCCCAGCCCAAAGCAGGTGATGGGAGAACGACGGGCTGAGGAGGTGCAGAGCCCACGGGAGAAGGGAGGCAGAGCAGCCCAAGGCCTGGACCCACACCCACCCCATGGCAGGCCCCGCTCTGCCTGCCCCAGAGCAGCTCCCTGCCAGCAGCACACCTGCAGCAGGTCTGGCACAGCCTCCCACCTTTACCTTGGGGTCGCTTTTGTCTGCCTGGCCTTGTCCGGCCGTGGCCACGGGCTGGACGCTGCTCGTGGTCGCCGTCTTCAGCCTCTCCAGGCCATTGCTGAGCGCCGAGCTCAGGCTGGCCCTGTGCTGCTGCTTCCTCTGGCTGGAGCCCTCCTGCACAGCACTCAGGGGCTTCACGGGGTGAGGGCTGTGGGCAACAAGGGTGGCACAATCAGCACCCCCAGCTGCTCCCTCTCCCCGGCGTTGTACGGGGATGGCACCACCCAGGAGATGAGGAACAGCCGAACCCCGCTGTCTGTGCCACCCAGAGCTCTCCTGCTCTGGAGAGAGCCAGCAGGGCAGGGCAGGGCCCATGGAGCTGCTCCCACCCAGACAGGAGAGAAGGGTCCCAGCAGACCAGTCTGGCTGAGATCCCCGTTCCCATACCCGCACTGCCGATCCTCACTGGGAACGCCGTGGTCACAACTCCCGGCTGCCAGGGGTTCCAACACAGCTCCAGCGTGACCAGAGCCTGCTGCACCCACTGCCCAGAGCAGCTTTCTGCTGCCCAGGGACCCCCAGCTTAGTCTGGGGTCACCACTGATGCTCCAGCCCAAGAGTTGAATGTCACCTGCCTGAAAGCCACCACACAATTTGTCCCCTCCACAAGGCCAAAAGGAGGGTGAGGAGCCAGTTAAGGGGGAATTCGATTTTCATTTATTTTTGCCTCACTTTTCACCCAAAAAAAGGTTCTTTCTGGGCCTGAACAAAATCCAGTTCCTTCTCAGCGTGATGGAAAGAGAAGTGACCTGATGCTCCCTCCCTGCAAGGAGCAGGCACAGCTGTGCACCATCCTTGGGATGGAAACATCCAAATTTCAATCTATTGGGATGGAAACATCCAAATTTCAATCCATTGGGATGGAAACATCCAAAAATCCATTGGGATGGAAACACCCAAATACCTGTCCATTGGCATGGAAACACCCAAACATCCATCCTTGGGATGGAAACATCCAAAAATGTATCCATTGGGATGGAAACATCCAAATTTCAATCCATTGGGATGGAAACATCCAAACATCTATCCATTGGGATGGAAACATCCAAACATCTATCCATTGGGATGGAAACATCTAAACCTCCATCCATTGGGATGGAAACACCCAAACCTCCATCCATTGGGATGGAAACATCCAAACCTCCATCCATTGGGATGGAAACACCCAAACCTCCATCCATTGGGATGGAAACATCCAATCCTCCATCCATTGGGATGGAAACATCCAATCCTCCATCCATTGGGATGGAAACACCCAAACCTCCAGCTGGGACCTTTGCAAAGCCTCTCACGGGTGACAGCCCCACCAGCTGTGTGTCCCAGCCATGCCGTGTCCTCGTGCCTCAGCCATGCTGATGGGATCAGGACATACCACGGATGTGGAAATCCTCTTCAGCCACGATGATGCCTCCTGCTGTCCATGTGCTGGCAGGGGACAGCACTGGCAGCCACCAACCTGCTGCAACAAGCCAAAGGATCAGCTCCTCCCAAGGGACAGCACAGGGGCAGCTCTGATCTCTCCCCTCTGGTGACCAGGGGCAGCACCAGGGAGTTCTGGAGCTCGGCCAGAGAGGTTTAGGAGATCAGGAAAGGTTCTTCATCCAGAGGTGCTGGCACTGCCCAGGCTCCCCAGGGAATGGGCACGGCCCCGAGGCTGCCAGAGCTCCAGGAGCCTTTGGGCAGCGCTCCAGGGATGCCCAGGGTGGGATTTTGGGGGTCTGGGCAGGGACAGGGGGTGGGTGGAGGACTCTGGTGGGTCTCTCCCAGCTCAGCACACTCTGTGATTCTCTGATCCCTTGGCAGAGCTGTCCAAGCACAAGGACAGAGCCCAGGATTCCTGGGCAGCTGGAAAGGATGGAGAGGGATCCCACAGCCCTCGGGGGGACTCACGGACAGTGCCAGGGGCTGGAGGAGTTGCTGCTCTGCACATGAGGCTCCAGCACTGCCCACTGGGACTAAACCCTGCCCAGGACAGGAGTGAGGAGGGGGCTGGGGGAGCTACCAGGGTTGCTCATCACAGCCAGGCCTGAGCCCCAGATGTCACTGTCACCTTGTGCATCCCCACAGCCAGCACTGAGGCCACAAGCAGAGCGTGCCTGGGAACCTCCCTGGGAAGTCAGTGGGAATGCTTGGATGTGTTTGAAAGCAGGGGATATTCCCACCCAGGGGTGGTCACAGACAGCTGCCAGCCCCACGGCCAGTGGGAACAGTTGCTGCTGCAGGGCTGGAAAAGGCACTTTTGAAAAGAAATCATTCTCCTACTGCTTCCCACTGGGTGGTGCACGCAGGGCTCGGCTGAGCAGAGCAGGGCTCTGCCTCCTCCGCTTGTCTCTGGAGGATCCAAGAGCTGGAGACATTCCTCGAGCTGTTTGTTCTGGGATGGTGGCACCAGGTCCTTCCAGAGGAGCAGGGGAGCTTCACACCCCACAGCCAGGTCTGAAGGTCTGGTGGACCTGCCAAGAAGCTGGACCAGTTTCCTCTCCTGGTCCATGAACATCAACTCCAGCGTGGAATCAGCTGCTCACCGGCTCCTAATCCAGAACTGCATCCCAAGTGGATCTGAGTTATGATGGAGCTTAAGGCCAAGGTAGAACACCTCAGGGTGATGCTAGCCCAGCCCTGTCCCCGCTCTGAGCCAGCCTTGCCCTGTCCCAGCTTTCAGTGCTGCTCCCAAGGTCACTGCAGAGCACAGGGAAAAACCAGCAACATTTCCCTCACCACCTCCCAAAGGGAGCCTTTAAATGCTCATCACAATGCTCCTCACAGAGCAGAAATCCAGGGAAACCCTCTCCCATGGCCCAGCTCTGTGCCTGGAGCACCACCCAGCACCCAAGGGCCAGCTCTCCGTGGAGCAAGGGCCTGGAGGAGGAAGGGGAATGGTTCAGGATCAGCTCTCCAGCTCTGGCCCTGGGTGGGCCAAGCCACACTCCCAGCTCCAGGGGCTCCAGGAGGATCACCAAGATGAGGGGACTTAACCTGACAGCTCATCTTCAGACACAGCCATTCTCTGCACTCCTGACACGAGGGAGGCACGGCCCGTGCCACCACCTCGGTACCTGTGACATCCCCACTCCTGTCACCTGCAGGTGCCACAGGATGCCAGGCCAGCCCCACATCTAAGTGGGGAGGAGCTGCACAGCTGCTGGATTGCAGTGCAGCAGCAGGAGCTGCACAGCTGCTGGATTGAAGTGGAGCAGCAGGAGCTGCAGAGCTGCTGGATTCCAGAGGAGCAGCAGGAGCTGCACAGCTGCTGGACTCCAGTGCAGCAGCAGGAGCTGCAGAGCTGCCGGGCTCCTCAGGCAGTGGAGCTCCCAAGGCACAGCCCCGGGCTGTCCTTGGGGTCTGTCCTGTCCCGGGGATGTGCCACGTCCCCAGCAGTGGAGGCACCATCCTGCCCTACCCCAGGAGCAGCAAAGGGCCCTCCACACACCTGGGAGCTGCAGCTGGTGCTCCCCTGCCCCAGCAGCCACACAAGATGACCAAAGAGCCTCTGGCCACTCGGGAAGGGGCCATGGGACCCCATTCCCAGTTTCCAGCTATCTGAACCCCCTCACCCCCAACTCTCATCATCCCACACCAGGCACCCTCTCCCCTTCACCTGCAGACACTTTTGTTCCAGCCAGGTCTTAATGTCCATTCCAAGTCTGAAGTATTTCCTTTTTCCTTCCACCTTTTTTCTACCATCTTTCCCTCATCCTTGTGCCTCCGGGGATTCCAACAGGAGATGATCCTGGGAAGGGCAGCATGGCCATGGGGATTGGGAAAAGATCCCTTCTAACCTTCCTCCCTCAGCCTGGGACAGTTCTCACATCTGCCCAGTCCTATAAAGCAGCTCAGAGCCTTCCCCAGAGGCCTCAGGAGCTCTTCAGAGGTTCTTCAGTCACAGCAAGTATCCAAAATGTGCTGGAGGAACCCAAACAGGGAGGTTCAGGAGCTCCTGGCCACGTGTCATGACAGAAGCCAGCACTGATATCCAGGACATCCAGCTCTTGGATCCCAGCCCATTCCATGCCAGGAGCCAGCCTGGATGGATACACAGGCATGGCTGGGGATGACCACGAGCAGGTACTACCAACACAGAGACTCCTCTACTTCCCTCACTGCCTCAGCTGCCCCTTCGGGATCGCAGGACACTTCTCTTTCCATGAAACATATTAAAATCCATGTTTCTGTGCAGCATCCCTGCAAATTTTGAAGAAGGCTATCTGCTGGTGGATGAATAATCCAATTAAAAATGGTTGGAGGAGCTGGCTTAAAAAAGAAGAAAAAATATCATCTGACAGACGCAGCCAGACGCTGTCTTTGCTCCCGAGATCACTTTGCACCTCATGCTCAACCCAAGAAGGGATCCTGCTGTGGAAGGACTGGAGCCCAGTGAGTTCTGCTGGCCCCATCCTCCCTCCCTTCCTCTCCCCAGGGCCACAACCAATCTTGCTCTTGGGGCAGGTCGGATTTTTACCATTGTGGTGCCCCCAGGAAGCTCCATTTGCCTCACGATCAGTGAGGCTGATCAATGAATCCCTGCTGGAGCTTGGTAAATCCCATGGGCAGGCAGAGCCCAGCAGCCCGGGGGAAGGAGCACCAGGAAAATGAGATGAACTGAAGGACACAGAGCAAGACTCCATGCCCTGAACTCACCAGCTTTGCTTCATGGCATTTGTACAGAGCCACGACTGACCTGGGAGGAGGAACAGCCCCTTCTTTCCACCCTTCCCATTCCCACCGGCCTCAAGGCTAAACCCCGCGTGCTTCATCACCAATGGGCATCTGGCAGGAGGGAGGGGAGAGGGGCATTCGCCCTGGTGAAAAAACTCTTTTTTTGGCTATGGAGAGAAGGTTTTCAGTACCCCATGGGCACTTGAGAGGAAAGCGGCCAAAGCTGGATGGATGGCAGGGGCAGCAGCTGTGCACATGCCGTGAGGGAGCTCAGGAGAGCACAGACAGCCACAAGCTCTCCTGGCAGGCACGGGAAAGGCATTTCTCCTGCAAGCACGGGGAGGATGATGGAGCCAAAACCAGCACTGGGTGCAATGTGGGTGCAGCTCTGAATTTCCAGCTGGGGCAGGTCGTGCGTGCACGGAACCCTTTGCCCTGGCTGGGGAACACACCGGACCCCTGTGGGATGCCCCCAGCATCCCAGAGAGCTCCCAGCGAATGGGGCTGGGCTCTCTGGGACCGGGGCAAGGTGAGGGAACAGGAGCTGCAGCACAGCGTGGAGCAGCCTCCTCGGAGCCAGCCCAGCTGGGTGCAGCCCTGCCGGGAGCAGGGAGAAGGGGCCAGGAGCAGAAGGGGCCGGGGCTCCCCTCTCCCACACACACGCCCTTCGCCTTCCCCGCAGTGCTCACCTGCTCGTCTGCTGGCCAAGGGGCTTCCCAGCCGGCCGTGTCTCCCTGGGCAGAGCCGGGAGCGCTGCAGCTTGTGCGTCCCCGGGCTGCGGGCACGGGCAGGGCCGGGCGGCGGCGCGGCTGGCGGGGACCCCCGCGGGGGCCCGGGGGTGGCCACACGGCTCGGGGTTAGTGGCAGCCACGAGGAGAGGGGTGGAGAAGGCCAGGGGCTGGCTGGCATGCAGGGGGGTAGCGTTAGTGGGCTGCAAGCCGTGCCCGGGGGCTTCCTCCTGCAGGCTGAGGAAGCTGAAGTGGCCCTGCTCAAGCTTTTCGGGCAGCACAGCTTGGACAGGGAGAGGGGCTGGGGGCTTCTCCACGAAGGGATTGCTCGGGGAATGCGGGCTCACTGCCAGGGTAAAGGGATTTCTCAGGGCTGAAGCTGCCCGGGTGTGCCTCTCCACCGCCCTGTCTGGCTTCCAGAAATCTGCTTTCTTGAAGTCTATCCTGCTCTCTGCCCAGTGCCCCTCGGGCTCCTCGCTGGCGCTGGCGGGGGCCCTGCCCTGCTCTGCCTCCTCGGGAGGGGCACGGGGCTCGGGCTGCTCTCCTGCTCGCCCCTCACCATCCTGGCACGCCAGCTCCGGCTGGGATGGGCTCTGCCCGCGTTCTGACCTTTGGGGCTGCGGGTGGGGATGCCCAGCTGCCTCCTGCTCTTCCAGAGCTGTCCAGCTGGTCGGCTGGCCCAAGTCTAGCTTGGAAGGTGGGTTTAGTCCTGAAATACTGAGCTCCTCAGGGAACAGCTCCTGTTTGGAGGCTATTTCCCACTTGGCACCGTCTGTGGCCTCCTGAGGGGATAACCGGGGCTGGCTCCAGCTCTCCTCAGCACCCGACTGCTCCAGTCCATCCAGGGAGAACTTGGATGTGCAAGTCTCAAACTGGTCGGCCACATCTGTCTCATTCATCTCTGATGGCTGTTCCCCCACAGAGGTGTGCCCTGTCCCCAGCTGGCCGGCTCCTGTCTCCAAGCCAGCTGCTGAGTGCACAGCGGCAGCTCCGGCACCCTCCGAGGCTGGGAACTCGCTCCCGGCTCCAGCGGCGTCCGCTCGCGGTGCGGGCAGGCCGGGAGGCGCTGGCACGGAGGGCTCGCCGCTCCCACGCCTCCTTGGCAATTCCACCTCTGCTCTTGGGCCCTCTGGGACTTCCCGTGGCTCCTGCTTGCCTCGCTGGGCGCCAGCAGGCTCCTCGTCCTCGCTGTCCCCCACAGCCCCCGCGGCCGTGAACCGCCGGGGCGGTTTGGGGGGCGGCACGGCCAGGCCGGGCTCCTCGGGGCCGCGGGGCCCGGCCCACGGGGACAGCACCACGCGCCTCTCGCGGATGTCGGAGCTGAACTGCACCAGGCCCTCGCCGGCCTCCAGCCGCATGCTGGCCTGCAGCCGGAACACCGAGCTGCGGATGTCCAAGGCGCCCTCGGGGCCGCCCCCGGGCTCCGCGCCCGCCGCGGGGAACCTCCGCCCCGCCGCGGCCCCCAGCACCCGCGGGGGCACGGCCGCCACGGCGCCGCCGGGCCGGGCCTCGGGCGCCAGCTCCGGGGGGAAGGAGCTCCGGGGCAGCACGCAGGTGGCGGCACGGGACGAGCTCTGCGCCTCCGAGGTGCCCTCGGCGAGGAAGGGCGGGAGCGGGCCGAAGGGAGCCGCGCGCTCCTCGGCCGCGCTCGCCGAGGGGTCGGCAGCGGTCTCCGTGGCTATGGTCATCCAGCCGTTGGTCCCTGCGCCGCGGGACTCCTCCTCACCGCTGTCCCCCTCCTCCCTAGCGCTGTTTGCAGCGCTCGGGGCCGCTGACGCCTCTTTGTCCCCGGGCTTGCCCGAGGAAAACGCCGTCCAGACCGTGGGCGTGCTGCTTTTCCTCCTCCTGGCCATGGAGCCCACGGACACGGGGCTCAGCACATCCTCGATCACCGTGGCCTCCTGGGTGGTGCTCACCAGGTTGGCCCCCACGTCTAAAGCGGAGAAATTTGTCCAGGAGCGGAGAGCTGCAGGGATCTCGGCGCCGACGGGCGACTCGGCCTTTTCCAACGCTTTGGAGCCCTTCTGGCAGGGAGGCTCCGCTGAGCTCTCCATGGGGCTGGCTCTGTTGGGCTCGTCGATGAAAGCCATGCCCTCTGCTGCCACCGAGGCAAAGAAGTTCTCCTTCTTCCGCTCGGGTTTGAGCCTGCTGGTGGCAAAGGCGTCGAAGGTATCGTCCCACTCCGAGGGCAGCGGGGGGACGGCGGGGTCGCTGTCGGCAGGAGGGAGCTCTCCCGGTGCTGGGGGAGTGGTTTCTGGCACGGGCACACCAACGCTTTGGGCTGGAGACTCCCTCTCGGGGTCTGCCTGCCTTGGGGAGGCAGAGGCACTGCAATCCTCAGAGGAACAAAAGCTCCCAGCGACCTCTGGCGCAGCACGCGGCCCAGGCGGGAAGCTAGAGAGAAAGTGAGTAGGTGAAGGAGAATTTAGTACCTGGTCAGCGAGGAGCTCCTCAAAGAAGGGATTGCTCTGCAGGGAGTTGAGGAATGGGTTGGTGGGGGCCAAGCACCCGGCCTGTCTGTCTCCAGGAGCGGCAGGGAGGTTAGAGCTCGGCATGCTAGCGGGAAGGGCGGCAGGGCACGGGGCAGGGGAGCGGGGAGCAGAATGAGAAGGAGCATCTGAGCTGGTTTCTACCTGAGGAGACACTTCCAGGCTGTGGAGGGAAGACAGAACAGTCCTCCTGGTTAATGCCGTGACAGGGCTGGAAGCACACACCACACACACCACAGACGTTGCTCCAAGCAGCGCAA